TGAAAATAATCCGTAAATTTATAGCATGAATAATATTTCACAAACAGAAGTTATCGACAACATTAATAATCACACATGTATTGACCATTTCCCATGGTTAGAAGTATTTCATCAAAACTATCAACGAATCCATGTTTATTTGTGCCTGATTCTCTGCCCTGTTGGTGTCATAGCTAATACATTAAACGTGGTTGTTTTATGTCAACCACGTTTACGCAGTCCAACAAATTTACTTTTAACTGTACTAGCAGTCAGTGATGGTTTTGTGATGTTTATTTACATTATATTTGACTATTTTTATTTAATGACACCAAGGCTAACAGATGGTATGACTAAAGCTTACGCGCAATTATTACTAGTTAATATTGTGTTACAAAACTTATTTCATGCCTTCTCTGCATGGATTATTGTCGCTGTAGCGATATTTCGCCTGATTTATATCAAAGCTGGTGTGCGTGCCGCTATCTACTGTAATACAGTCAAAGCATGGATAGCAGTTCTACTTGTATTGGTCAGCTCCATTCTTCTCACAATACCATTTATGATTGCACATCAAGTTCGTGTCAAACCTAGTGAAAGACTGATGTCAGTCACACAATCATCAATGGATAGAACAGATAGCAATACAATGAGTAAACAGTTAAAATCGATTGAAGTTTACGAAGTTGACTATACAACAAATATTAGTCTAAGAGTTATATTATTCTGGAATTCAGCTATCCTTGTAAAAGCACTACCAATAATAATTATGACAACTGTAAGTGCAGCTTTAATATCCTCCATAAGAGAATCAGAAAAGCGCTATCGTATATTAAGAAGATATCGTAATTGTAAGGATTTTCAGGCAACATTAGAAACCACACGTGTTGAAAGTCTTTTAAATAATGCGAATGAAAATTCAAATCCAACAAATCAGCATAGAAATAAATCAAATTCACATCATGAATCATATTCTGGTGGTCGTAGTGCAAATCAAACTACGTATATGTTACTAACTATTATTATATTATATATTGTTACATATTTACCACAGGTAGGTCAAGTTTTTCAAATTGTTTTGATAGTTTGGGTTTTGGAAGTGTTAACTAATGACTCATAGTACCAAGGGTGTTTTTTATGACTAAATCTCACTGATACCTTAGTAGTAGTATTACATCACTTTCATAATGGTGAATTCAACGTACTCACTTGACAAATAAATAATAATAGAATTAATTCTTAGCCTGACAGAAGCACATGAGTCACTGCACACGGAACAAGTTTTAAACCCTTACTTCTGTAAGTTATTGCTGACTCCTTGGTTAATTTAGGTGACTTACCAATCAAATTCAATCCTCTCAAATTCATTCAAGAGGACTGATTTTGCTTAAAATGCAGTGATGCAAACCTCTACTTGTACTTCAAAATTCTTGACTGTATTACAGTTTTTGACCCTAATTTAGAGAATATTGTAAACTTAGTTCCGTTGTGTTAATTAAACTTGAGGCAGGTTGAAGAGTACCTGAATGCTGAAAACCAATGTTAGGAAAGAAAGATATTTCTATGTCATAGAAAATGTTATTGTTTTATGAATGTATTTGTTACAGGTACATATCAAACAAATCTCCACTTTCTTAGAGATACTTATATCTCATCTGTCTATTCACATTTAAATGCCACGTACCATTGTGTGGGTAAAAAGGACCTAGGAATAAATATTAAGACTCTTAGATTGTCTAATTTTTATCAAAAATACAATTTTACGAATGAGGCCAGAGGACTGAACCCGTATGTTAGACAGATGGGAGATAAACGAGTTTATTGCCCTTTAGTTTCAGCTACGCCATGATAAATATGAATATGTAGGAATACTATAAATAACATACATGGTGGTTTTGAAGGATTCATATTATCCTACATAAATTTATTAAAAATAGTCAGACATCTCAAAGAAGATACTGATGATAATTTTAGAGCGATTGGGTTTGTTTACAATTTTTTCTTCATACACAATAACCATAATTTCAAAAATCAGAAATAATTAGTTTCTTTTTAGTGTGCATGCAACTTGTGTGCAAAATGTATGTCGACCAATAAATGAGGATTTAGTCTTTACAGAGATGTCTGAGCGAATATTGCCGAAAGACATTTTAACGTGAGCCGATTAAGACTCATTCTTATTGATCAAGAAGATAAGAATGCATGATGGGTTGAGGTGATGGTAGTTTCTAGTTGACAGAAATTATTGACGCGTCTTATGTAATGAATAACTGAATTAATACATTTTGCTGTAGGAGCTACATTTTCAAGTGTAAAATGTTATTCATTCGGAATGGCATTTGGCATTTTTGACTTTCTGTTGTAAACCATCATTACAGGATGCCCATTCCAAAGCTTATGGATTCACGTAATCAGAACATGGAAATCTTTGTACCGAGTAACCATGATAATGATAATGAACTTTCACTAACTAAAGAACATTAATTTACTTATAAAATTGATGTCCAGTGACATATAGGTATCTTTCTTTTCTGATTGCCATTTATAAAAAATGAACTTTTTACTTCCGTAGTCGAATGCAATTAGTATTAGGTTTTTCAATGAAGATGATAACTTCTCACATCAACAGTCCTGAAATTAAAGTTGACACCTGTTTGCAACATCTGTTAGCGAACATGAAGAAGTTTCAAATTCAGTAAACATAATGAATCCAGGATATTTGTTTAGAGTTTTATAAGCAGCGAAAATATCTTTATTTCAAATGTGAAGTCAAACTTTTCTCTGCACTCCAAAAGGGGCATTATCATGGGCGATGACAAAACTTATCGTAGTGGATATACAGAAGAGAATTTTAGCATTCTGTCTATGCTTGTGAGGATACTGATAATCAAGCATCCTATCCCATTAGTCTGTCTTCAACCAGGTTCAAACTGAATCTACTCTGAATGAAATGCAGGTTAAGATCTGTCGCAATAAATAACAATTTTTAATCAGTAAAATTTAAACATTATTTAACGCTTCGTTAATAAAAACAATACACTAGGGTAGTTAATGTGTCCATAGTTATCATTTTCGTACAACCTGCTTTCATCCATTATAAATCAGTGCAGTAAAACATTTTGGATTTACACAAATCTACCATTTCGACACAGTAGTAAATAATCAGAATAGTAACCAAATGGTGGATAGAAAAAAGACTATCAGTTCCTAGATTCTTTAGATAAACACTTTTCAAGCATAAATTTAGAGAAATCAGTTTACTAAGCACATAATAAGATGTGTATAACTTTTCAGAACAAATGTTTTTCATAAATAAATTTGATCAGTAGCAAAATCAGCGATGCATAACTTTAACATTCTCAAAAATACCAGTTTTTGGATAAATAAAACAATCTATCAGTACACTTAAATTTGATCAAAACTAGTGGGAATAGGTAGTAATAAGTGATGGTTATTAATTAATAATGAAAAGTGTCAAATGTTTACGCCAGTTAACAAAATTTAAATAATGAAATCTGCAGACGAACCTTATTTTGAAAATGTAGTAGTGATTATAATAGTGTATAATCAGTATATTATGAAGAACTGACCACCGTATTTGCAAACAATACCAACAGCATTCATTTAGGATGAAATTAAACTGCAAGTAAGGTGGAGCATCAAAAATCTTCACATTGTAACTCGTGAAACATCTACAAAAGAAGAATCAAATTACAGACAGTACAGTACTTTAAAATTTCACCATATCTTGTAGAATTTATCACTTAAAATGCAGTCCACCCTTTTTACAGATAAGAAATGTTGCATTCTTTAATAGACAGTCTTTGAGATAAAATGTTTTCAATCTCATAGAACTTTTTTTTGTGTGCTTTACAAAACGTAGCAGAAAGTAGAGCAAACATATTAAAAAATAGTGCTGTTATTATGATTGAGTTTATATCAGGTAGAATTTATGTTTCATTTAGAGAATAACCGGTTCACCGTACTTGTATACATGTATATTGAAATTTTTTAATGAATGACTATGTATGTGTCTACTTATACACTTTTCTGCGGTAGACGAATCTCATTTTTTATACATCGTTGTTGATTTATGAAAAAAATAAATAGTTTTTATATAAATTCCTTTTTCCAACTATCACAAAAAAGCGTAACTTGGGTGCATAATTAAACAGTATCACTAACTCTGTAGGATGACGTTATCAACAATATAAAATTTCTTTTGAAATAAGCGTTTCCCTACCAATTCATAAATAAAATACCTTTGGTGGCTCTATTTACTTATAGTATATCAGTATAGTTTCAACTCTTGGTCTATGAGGGGAAAATTCAAAAGCATATCATTGAAACCGGATATAATTTAGTCCCATACTATTTGTGATTTGTTAATTATCTTTCGTTAGTTTCCTCCACACAGATATATAATTATTCTGTTTGCACTTAAAGTTTGAGTATGCTCGAATATGCGTTAGATCACCCATGTTCTACTACAGAGTCAAACAAAGCAGGCCATTAAATTTTAAGATATCTTTTTTCTTATGCTAGGCTGTCTGAAAAAACTAATGCCTTCTTATAACTGCAATATACTGCTGCCTAAAGTTAGAGAAAACCTTCAAGTGCAGCGATTTCTCGAAACATATCCTATGTATAATGTCGACTCAACTTGATGCATAATATTTAAGATATTATTTTGTCAAGTTTTTATCACAGCTCATATAAAAGACTTTCAAACTTCATAATTGAATTATATTATAAACCACAAGGCTGTATTATTATATCTAATTTGTTTAGGCTGATTTTTTTCACTTGGTTTCAGATGATTCACCATATACTGGAAACCGGAATTGATATTTTCAAAAAATATGTACTTCCATGCGTAATTATCATTCAATCCAAAGTAAAGCAATCTCATCAGCTTCATTGTTTCTATTTTCAAATTACAATCACAGTTTCTCTTCAAGACTTCAGTGTTTTGCTATTACAGGGTTTACCGATACTTATTTAGGCAGCTATTTTGAGAAGACGCATAAAGTTTATAATAGCAATTTTTTAAATAGATTTACTCAGAAGATTTTGAATAAAAGTTGCCCATATATTTGCAGTGACAAAATATGGGAAGCTTTTTCACAATCTTTCACTCCACGCAAAGTGTAATTACTTGAAATTAATTTGAGCAAATCATTTGCATGATTAGTTTTGGTAGATCTGCTCAAGACAAACCTAGCGATTTATATTTATTTGCATGTTTAGTCCCACCAGATTTTAATGACTGTCACCTACTTTCTAACTTTTCTTATACTTTATCAGAACCGGGATGTAGGAATACCTTTATTTAAATATTTATTAAGGTCATTCAAAGTTTTAGAGAAACGTTTGGATAAAATTTGCAACTGCTGTTGTCGTTATCATTGTTGATACACTGAATCTGATATTAATACAGCTCAGTTTTAAAGGAAACAAAGTGTTATATATATATATATATGTATATATGGGAAGAGTTCCTATTTTCACTTCTCAAAATGTAAAACAGTACAGCAAGTCAAGCGTTAAGAATTGTAAATATCACGCAAACACTTTTCCTAAAAATAACTATGGGAACAGAATGAAGCTTTTTGTTTTCCTCTATATAAGGTGCTTGATACACCATTCACACTTACCACGTTTCTGAATAGCCTTACATTAAAAAACAACATTCTGGTTGTTGGTAAACTCAGTGCAACAAAATGAGGTTCAATTTTTTCAGTTCTGCCATACTTGATGTTATTAGTCATCCAAAATTCTATAGGTTATATACAATTCTGCCTACATTCAATAGAGTTGGAGCATTCAGGATCCAAACATAGAGATCAGAGTCATAATACACAGTGAAATCTCTGTGCATGAATTAATTTCGCCTGCTTTTCTTAATAGATAATTTTTTTCTAGTGAGGAGTTTCTTACCGCCTTTTTATTCAGTTTTGCTGATGAGGTAAACGCGAAAACTTGCACGTACAATGAAATACGTCTAGAGTTCAATGATCTATATTTTTAAGTAGCGCTAGAAGATTGTACCAT